AAAAATGATCCTATTGATTCTGATACCAGTTTACCATGGATTTTCTTTTTGCTGACCCTCCCTTCCCCCCAACGATGCCCCTTGCAATTCCATTTAAAGCAGAGACTAGAAGCCTCCTCACTGGTTCACAGGACGCCTCAAGGGTAGATCCTAATAAGGGAATTGCACCTAGCACATGGAAAGGGACCCAGTGGAGTGGAGTGCCTAAGGCAATAGACTAGAATCCAGGAGCCTGCTAGCTGAGTGACCTTGGGCCCATCCCTCTTTCCTGGCCTTAGGAAGGCACAACGGTAGACCATTTCACAAATCTTTCCCAAAAAAAGTGCAGGGGCTTCTCCAGCCAGTCTCCAGAGGTCAAAACTGACTCGAAGGCACCAAACTTCAACTTTTCATCTTCAATTAGACTTATTGTCTCCAGGTTCCATCTTTTAAAATCGGGATTTCCTGGCTCTGCTGCCCTTTGAAAAGGTTGCTTTGCCCAACAATAGAAATAACCCCAGGTACTCAGATAAGGACTTGCCAAGCTTCCCCAACAATTGCCATTGTTAAATATAAAGTATTGCTCCTAAAGTTTTAATTATAGTTAAAGAACATTTTGAAAAATTGGTATTACTACAGTTAACAAAATGGCTCCGAAAAGTCCAGAACAGATAAGGGAGGGGGGAGTGCTTTCTGAGCTGTCGTCAGGGTGACTTTGCCCTGCAGCTAGGGAATGTTTGTTAATAAGTGCTCCCGATAGGTTGTGAGCTTGTTAATATCCAGCCAATGGGAAAACAGAACAGTGTTAAGTGCGGGGGGGCGGGGAAGTAGTATAAAAATCAGTTTGATGTTGATGTGCTCTAGGTCCACTTCATGTGCAGCTGTCTTTGCAAATATATTAATAAACCTTTGCTACTTTTTGGAACGGGATTGCCTTCATTACTTCATTACTCATCCTTCTCAATTTGAAACCATAAAATAAGAAGGTTGTTTTATTTTAATTTTTTTGCTCTATCAAGTGAAATGAGGAAAATAGAATGCTTTCCCTGCAAAGGAGAACAGACTTATACTGCTAATTTTCATATTTTGTCATCAAGGGAATATTCTTTTTAATATCTGTTACATTTTCATTTTGTATTGTAAATGTTGTCACATTGCAAGTCTTACTTCACTCCGTGCTATTTTTGTTGTTGTTGTTGCTGTTGTTGTTACAGTTTATAGTCATAATTTTAGTTACAGATATAAATTTAGTTACAGATATATGGCGTCCTTTTATACCCTCACAGACGTCAGCTAGTACCCAACTCTGGCCTCCCAATCCAGGCCTGTGCATTCCTTGTTGCCCTGCAAGGGGGAATAGAAACTTCCCAATTAGTCATCTTGAGCATTTCTTTGTTTACTCAATTGGCCACTTTGGCCCTCTGGCTCTGGAAAGTAGGAGTCTATCCAGATCAACATAAATTATGACTGAGGTGTAAATTATGCCTTGGAGATACGTACCATGCTCTTAGATGGCACAAGAAAAAAAACAGGGAGAAGATTGATATGGGTTCAGGTCAAATGGCAGGGACATACGTTTGACAAATACCTGATACATTACAGGCCTAATAACAGATTATGTTTGTTACAGGAGATACAGATATAAAGGCATAATATATGTGATACAAATACAAAGGCATATGTGTATTACAGGAACCTAATGGTTACAGAATCTAGTATACCAGTATATCATATTCTAGTATTATTTATTATATCCTTATTATTGTTTCCCTTCAGTAGCCATTAGGGCCATGAGTAATAAGAACCTTAGCTAAACCCAATTGCAGTTGCTCCAGATGAGGGAATAGCTATTCTGAAATGTTTTTCAGCCTCGGGATTAAGATAACAATAAAAATGTGCATGGAGAAATGTATTTAATAATAAAATATATAGCAATAAACAGTGTTTTACATAAGTATGAATAGTCTTCATCTTCCTCTCCTTCTGAATAAAAGATGATATTACAATGTGGCTATAAAACTGCATATTCTTCTAATCAGTCTGTTCAACTTTTGTCAAGCTGTTATCATAATAGATTCAGTACGCTTATTCTCAGGTGCTTCTAAAGTAATATCCATATATTGAGGTGCCACTATTTTTTTGAGAAGAGCAAGAATTTCAGCATTTCAGAGCTGCATTTCAACAACATTGTCACAGCCAGTTGCTTTAAGAGAAAAGGCCCTAGTAACCACCCATAGAATCTTCTCACAATAGCTACTTTGGGTCCGGCAGCATCACTTTCTATCTACAGTAAGGGAGAAGTGAAGCCCTAAGGTGAGCAGTAAGTTTCCAGAGGCCTCGTATTGGCCTTCCAACAAGATTGAGGAAAGAAATACTGGATTCCAGCTTCTCTTTTTTGACATGTTTGAATTAAATTAATTAATAAATGTTAAATAAATGTTATAAGCCTCCTGGAATTACATATTTGTGAGTTGGGCAATTATATACACTTGTTCAATAAATAAATGAAATGCATGACTATTTCTATCTCCCTCCCTATCTATTATTTAGCATCGGTGCTAAATAAAATATTTCAATAGGAGGAATACAATGGGTGCAACTAAAAAAAACAAGGTACTGCTTATTCCTAGTAAATCAGTGTTTGGGAGGTTTCTTATTGTGGCATCCAAATGTAAATGCACTTAGGAGTAAAATATATTATATCCTCTGGGGTTCATCTGTGAATTGGTTATAGATATTGTACTACTTTCTGTCCTGAGTAGTACAGCTAATTACTGTACTAGTATGCAGTATTGCAGGCTAACTCTTCCCACAGTCAAAAGTTATACCCTGACTGGCACAAGGTTGGTATACTGTGCCCTTCCGAGGTTGGTATTGCCGCCATATTGTTGCAGGGCATTATTCTGACACTATAAACAGCTCAGAGAGTGTTGTAAACCACTGTGGGGTTATATACAAGTCTCAGTGCTAGTACTTTTGCTAATTCTGTTGTAAGATAGTAGCTTCTTTGACAGAAAGCAATGATTGACTTTGAAATCCGCATTTCCAGTTTCTATTAAACTGAGCTAATATGAAAATGTCATTATATATTTTAACATACATTGGAAAATATGATCCCCCAAACTAAATATATTAAGACAATCTGGAATGTCAGGTATTCATGTGCAAATTCTTATATTCTCTCCATGAATTGCAATGTTGCTAGACTAGATTTTTCAGAAAGGACATACATTTTCTCTGAGGAAATCTAGACAAACATAGGAAAATCACCTAAAAATAATTGAAGCTTGAACCTAATTTTTCATACCACTAAACATACGTTTGCTTTGCGTGTCCTGTATTCTAGCAAAGTCACACACATACACACACAAATCTACGGGGGGGGGAAATCTCCATTCCTTCTTTATATTTTTAGAGAGGAATAATAGTTTTATTGTTTAATGTTTCATTTTAGATTTCATGCTATTTTAATTATATAGTGCTCTAGCAGTGGGCTTATTAATTTACCAAGCATTTCCATTCTAAAAAGAGCCCATCATTGTCCATCATTCTTTCCTTCCAAATACTACTGCTTATGACTTGCTTTTCTTTGTCTTTCCAAATTCAGTCATAAGGATTTTATTTTATTCGTAAGAAGGTTCTCTTTCATCTCACATTGTGGTCTCTTCTGTTGGGCCTAGAGGACAGTCAACCCCATATATAATCTTCTTTTATCTAAGTCCCAGTCAGGTTGGAACAGAGTTTTCAGGTAAATGAATTTGTGGCAGAAGAGGTCAATCCACAAAAGCATTGTGCAAGGCACTTCTCCATCCCCATTGTACCAGCAAACAAACCAGTTTTGTAGCATCATTAACTCCATTTACTTACACTAAAGAGAGTGAGAAGATTTCATAAAACCTTCCTTAATGTACACCAAAATAAATTAAGCCTCCCTGGGAGGGAGGCAATCTCTGCTGCTCAGATTTGGGCAGCAAATTATTTTGGCCAGTTTCCTGCACTCAGCTAGAAACTTTCATTTGGGTTTGGGGAGTGAGGCAGTCTGGAAAGAATGCTGCTTTTTGCCTTGTAGTTTCAACCAGATTAGTGAGTGCTAGACTAGGAGGCATCCTCTGCTTCAGTTCAGCTTCCTCCAATTTAAATTTTTAATTCAGAATGCTCCTAGAATCTGAAATGTGTTCAGCTACTAAAAAATGGATCCTTTATTGTTCCAGATTATTTCATACTATTGCACTACAGGAGGAATTAGGTGTTACGATTCTGCGTGCAGTGTATTTTATATTTAGTTTATATATGCAAAGGTTTTTAAGTGTGTAAAATTGTTGATTTTAATAATGATGAAACTGCAATAGTAACAGTACAAATTAGATGTTGTTTTAAACAAACACATTACTTAGAAATACGTTGGAGAAAAAAAGTTCTAAGTTAAAGAACAGCCCTTGACAGACTGTAGGACCTGACAAAGAACAGAAAAACATTATAACAGAACAGAAATTAAAAAGAATTCTGCTGCAGCTAAGATTGTCTCCTCCCAATAAAACAATTTGTATTGTTTTATTTGTTTCCTGGTATGATTTGATTGCTTATTAGTAGCCTATGATTATCAGCGTTGTAGATTATGATTCTTGATGAATATATTCTATTTTAATGGGTTAATTTTAAATTTTTTAGATTTTAGTTTTTATTTTTATTGTTTATTTTTATTGTGGCTTGTGTTTTATTGTTGTGAGCCGCCCTGAGTCCATTGTGAGATAGGGCGGCATATAAGCCGAATAAATAAATAAATAAATTAAATAAATAAAATTTATTTTTCTTTATGTACACTGAGAGGTTATGCACCCAAGACAAATTCCTCGTGTGTCCAATCACACTTGGCCAATAAAGAATTCTATTCTATTCTATTCTATTCTAGTCTAGTCTAGTCTAGTCTAGTCTAGTCTAGTCTAGTCTAGTCTATTTCCAGAAAATATCTTGGAGGAAAAAAAGTTATAAGTTAAATAACAATCCTTGAGAGACTCTACTACTCACTCAGTCGTTGGTGAGGTTTCACTAGTGGCTGTCTCTTTTTCAGACCTAACAAAGAAGAGAAAGCTGTTTTAATAGAACAGAAGTTAAAAAGAACTCTGCTACAACTGAGATTGCGTCCTTCCTATGGACACATTATCCTGGGAAGGATAATGGCTCATTTCTTTTCAAACTTCTTAAAATGCAAGGAAGTTTTAGACTGGATTTTTCCAAACTCAGGAACTTTAAGATGTTAATATTAAGCATGGCTGGCTAGGGAATTTTGGGAGTTGACATCCACTCATCTTAAAGGTTCTGTGATTGAGAAACGTGCTGTAGATAAATTGTCCTCTGGAACGTGGCTACCATGAGCTCCAATCCATTAGAGAATTTTGTTCTCCTGAGCAAATTAAGCCAAATATTGCTCCACCCCAATTTGCTTGCCTATAGATAGGGCTGGAATTTTGAGCAGTCTCTCCTCTTAATATAGCAACTATGAAACACAATCAGTTTCTATAAATATGATTAAGAAATTCAATAGCAATAGCACTAAGACTTATATACTGCTTCATAGTGCTTTACAGAGTCAGGTTTACAGGTTCAGCATATTGCACAATCTCAAAATCTCTCAAAACATTTCATGACAACAGATGTTTATTTATTTATTTATTTTATTTTATTTTATTTGTATACCGCCCTTCTCCAACAGGACTCAGGGCGGTGAACATCCACAGTAAAACACAACATATAAAATTTAAAAACAGTTTAAAAAACATTAAATAATTTTGGCCATCAATTTAAAACAACCCAATTAAAACCAATCACAAATTAAAACCGCAAGGATGGGATCAAGCCAGCCCAGCTAGATGAAATAGATGTGTTTTCAGGGCCCGACGAAAAGTCTGGAGGTCTGGTATCATGCGTATCTCTGGGGGTAGGTCGTTCCAGAGGGCAGGTGCTGCCACAGAGAAGGCTCTCCCCCTGGGGGTCGCCAGCCGACATTGTCTGGCCGATGGCACCCTGAGGAGGCCCTCTCTGTGCGAGCGAACTGGTCGTTGGGAGGCTATTGGTGGCAGAAGGCGGTCTCGTAGATACCCCAGCCTTAAGCCATGGAGCGCTTTAAAGGTGGTCACCAACACCTTGAAGCGCACCTGGAAGACCACAGGAAGCCAGTGCAGCTCGCGCAGGAGAGGTGTCACATGGGAGCGCCCCGTCGCTCCCATAATCTCCCGCCCAGCTGCATTCTGGACCAACTGGAGCCTCCGGGTGCGCCCCAAGGGGAACCCCATGTAGAGAGCATTGCAGTAGTCCAGGCGGGAAATGATGAGTGCGTGAGTGACCGTGCGTAGGGAGTCCCGATCTAGAAAGGGACGCAACTGGCGTATCAGGCGGACCTGATAAAAAGCCCCCCTGGCCACGGCCATCATATGCTCTTCTAACGACAGCCATGTATCCAGGAGGACGCTCAAGTTGCGAGCCCTTTCCGTGGGGGCCAATGATTCGCCCCCAATAACCAGCGATGGCACCAGCTGGCTATATCGGGACACCAGAAGCCACAGCCACTCGGTCTTGGAAGGGTTGAGTCGGAGCCTGTTTCTCCACATCCAGGCCCGCACGGCCTCCAGGCACCGGGACATCACTTCAAGGGCATGTTAAAGCTACCGGTCTATAATCATTAAGGGATACCACTACTGTCTACTTAGGGACTGGCACTATAATAGATGTCTTCAGGCAGGTAGGGATAGAGCACTGTGACAGGGATAGATTGAAAATCTCCGTGAACACTCCTGCTAGCTCTGCAGCACAGTCCCTGACAACCTGTCCCAGAATTCCATCAGGCCCAGCTGCCTTCCGGATATTAACATTCTGGAAAGTGTCTCACATCAGAGATCTGCAGTAGAAGTGGTTGTCTATCGATGGTAGATGTTAATGGTGCACTATCAGTGGTAAATGCTGGAATTATGGTCGTTCCTGTGTCCACCTCAAACGGCTGAAGAATTGATTTAGCTGCTCAGCCAAAGAGTCACTACTGCTAGACAAACTATTTTTATTGCTTTGTCCTGTGATTTGTCGCAGATCTTGCCGTACCCGACCAGAGTCTGAGTTCTCAAAAAGATGTTCAATCCTCTGTCTGTATATAGCTTTAGCGTCTTTGATACCCCTTTTCAGTTTAGCTCTTGCCTCGCTATACTATAGCGCATTACCAGAATGGAAAGCAGCATTTCTTGCTTTTAATAAAAGACACACTTCTCTATTTATCCAGGGCTTGTTGTTAGAGAACACCCGTACTTGTCTGGTGGTAGTGACAACATCAATGCAGCTTTTAATATAAAACAGTACTGTTGAAGTATAAGTGTCAATATTGTCCTCCTCAAACAGTGCCCAATCAGTGCTCCCAAAGCAATCTTGAAGTTGCTCCAATGCACCCGCTGGCCACACTTGTATTTCTCTAATCGATGGTCTAATTCTGTTAACAAAAGGTCTATATGATGGGATCAAGAACACAGATATATGATCTGACTGTCCCAGGTGGGGTAAAGGCATAGTCCTGTATCCGTGCATGATGTTATTATATACCGGATCCAAGATATTTTTCCCTCTGGTGGGACAGTCTACGTACTGATAGAACTTAGGGAGGACAGTCTTTAAGTTGATTTGATTGAAATCACCTGCAGTCATCAGCACTCCATCCGGGTAGGCCTGTTGCTGTTTGCTAATAGCAGTTAACAGGTGACATATGGCTGTGGTCATGTTAGCATCAGCAGGTATATATACTGCACTATATATATATATAGACTTCTTCGGCCCCTTATTAATCTTCAGAACTTCTGAAATTTCTGTAGCCACTTCCTTCTGCATCTCCAACTCATGAGTTTTCTCTTTGTTTCCTCTGACTTTTTCTTTTGAGAGTCACCTCCAGTCCTGTAATAATATCCTGAACTTTTGAAATTCCTTCAATCAGTTCCTTCTGCATCTCTAACTCATGAATTTTCTTTTTTTCTCTGAAAGTCACCTGGAGTCTTGTAATAATATCCATAGCTTCTGAAATTCTTCCAATCAGTTCCTTAGCCATCTCATGAATTTTCTCTTTGTATCTTCTTGTTTTGGGTAAACCATTTACTCAATGGGATATTCTCACGCCAAAGCGCCTTATGCCAGCCCTGTTGTATATCAAAGCCTTCTAACTTAAGGAGCCAATTGTTGGATAAAGTAATCCACTCTTTTACCCAGGTTAATAAAGTAGCTGAATAATACATCTCCCAACATGGAAGTCCTAAACCTCCTCTTTCCTTTACTTCTTGCATCATCTTTCTTTTAATCCATGGTTTCTTCCCCTGCCAAACAAATTTCGATATTATTTGGTTCAGCTCTATAAAGAATTTCTTAGCTAAGCTCACTGGTGCAGTCTGAAATAAAAAATTAAACTTTGGTAAGACATAGGATTTCACAGTTGTAACTCGCCCAAGTAGTGAGAGTTGTATTTTACCCCATCTCTCTAGATCTTTTTTAATTTGAATTAATAATTTATTGTAATTATCCTCCTGTATACTCAAACATCTATTGGTTAGCCAAATTCCCAGATATTTAACTTTATTGACTACTTTTAATCCAGTTGCCACCTGTAGCTCTCTCTTAGGTTCTTCTCGAATATTCTTAGTTAATATATTTGTTTTGTTCTTATTAATTAGTAATCCAGCTACCGCCCCGAATTCTTCGATTGTCTCTAACAAGTATAAACAGGATTCTATGGGCTCTTCCAGAATAAAAACCATATCATTGGCAAAGGCCTGGGTTTTATATATCTGTTGTCCAATTCTAAGGCTTTTAATTTTTTCTTCTTTCCTTATTTTACGTAATAGGGTCTCTAATGATAAAATAAAAAGTAAAGGAGATAGGGGACATCCCTGTCTTGTGCCTTTGCCAATTACAAATTCTTCCGTCAAGTCCCCATTTATCAATAGTCTAGCCATTTGTTTGGAGTAAATAGCTTTAATCGCATTTATAAACCTCTGCCCAAATTCTATATATTCTAGTTGCGCTATTTTAAAATCCCAATTAACTCTGTCAAATGCCTTCATGGCATCTATAAAAACTAGTGTGACCTGTTTGTCTGGGTGTTCTTCATAGTATTCTAATATATTTAACATAAATCTCATATTGTCCCGTAATTGTCATGATGGTAAAAATCCATTTTGATCCATGTGAATAAACTCATTCAGAAACCCTTTTAATCTATTTGCCAAAATTGTAGTAAAAATTTTATAATCTGAATTCAACAGGGAAATCGGTCTATAATTTTTTATATCAGATGGGGGGGGGATCTTCCTTAGGAATCAAACTAATATTTGCTTCTCTCCATGAATGGGGGATTTCCGCTTTTCCCAATACTTCATTAAATAGATCCTTCATATGCTCTCCCATAACCTCAAACATTGTCTTGTATAGTTCTGCTGGAAGTCCATCTGTGCTAGGGGTTTTAAGATTCCCCTGTTTCTTTACTGCTTTTTCAATCTCCATTAAAGTAATATCCTCCTCTAGAATCTCTTTCGTTAAATTAGATATCCTAGGTAGATCCGAATTCTCTATGTAATTTTTTATTACATCAGATGGAATTTTCTCCCTTTTATACAATTCTTTATAGAAGTCCACCACAATTTTTTCCTTTCCTTTTTTGTCTTTTAATAAATTCCCTTCCTTATCTTCCAATTGGTCTATTCGTCTACTCTGTTTTTCTTTTTTTAATCTAAATGTCAGCCATCTTCCTAATTTATTGGCTGATTCAAAGTGTTTTTGTTTTGCTCTTCTTATCTTATCTTTCATCTTATCCAATTCTAGGAGATTAAGCTGATGTCTTAGTAAAATTATTTGTTCTTTTGCTCCTGCAGAGAGTGGGTTATCTTGTAATTTTTCCTCCGCCTTTGTTAATTTACTTATGAGCTCACCTCTTTCTTGTTCTTCTTTTTTGTGATTATTGGCCATATATTTGATGCTAATCCCTCTTATAAAGGCTTTGGCGGTATCCCATATTATTTGCAGTGACATTCCCGGTGTTTTATTCTTTTGGAAAA